CCCTTCCCTTCCCTTCCCTTCCCTTCCCTTCCCTTCCCTTCCCTTCCCTTCCCTTCCCTTCCCTTCCTTCTAAAAACTAGATACTAAATTAGGACAAAGAACTCCATAAATGGATTTTACATGATGCAAAGTATTCTTTCTCTCTATCTGTTTGCCTTTCTTGAAACTATTCAGCAGTTCACTGAATGATCTGAAATTCTAGCAGGAGAAAGGGTGAAGCATCTGTTCTCCCTTTCTCTGCACAGCTGTCACAGTTTCAAAAGCTCCATCAAGATTCCCTCTTGAATCATTTTCTCCTCCTCTAAGCCGGGAAACCTCCAAATGTCTGTCTTTCCTGGCATGAGCTGGCACTAGGAACATACAGCTCAAAGATTCTTCTGCTGAGGTGTGTTCCTCAGATCCCTCTTCTGACCCTACCTAAAAGTGTTAGATTTCAATTCTCATAACCCAGTAAGACTGGCTTTGCTGCCTTGGAATTATAGGACATAAAATCTAGCACACCTGGATGGAATCCGATTCTGGGAGATGTTTCAGAATAACATCTGCTTTGGTAATTACCATATGGTTATACAAGAAAACCAGTTCAGGAAGCATTAATAATTTGATGTTGTACCCTGGGAGAACCATGCTTCATTATCTCAAAAGACATTTATATAAACATTTTATTTAATTCACCAGGCAAGCTTCCTGAAAAATAATGGTGATAATTCTATTGATGAATATGTTGATGATTTTACATAATGGTGGTAAGTGGAAAATTATTCATGTTACTGTTTTGTATTTTGCTACTTCTCTATATAGTCAGTTTGCTCAAATAGCCCCCTGGGAAGTCTTTCTGCAGATGGGACAGGTGTTATTGTTATTAACATTATTGATTAAAGCACAGTAAAAATAGATCCACAGATTATTAACTTAAATCCCATTGATTTAATTTGATAATCATGTTGATCATTATTGATTTTATGACAATTGGGAGTTGGGCGGCATACAAATTTAATAAATATTATTATTATTAATATTAATATTATTATTAATGATGATGATGATAATAATAATAATAATGTAATAATAATAACACTAGCAGACTCCTGGAATCAAATACTGCAGACACATAGGGACCCATGCCTGGGTAAACTGTTTTGACTCAATAGGACTGTTAAGTAACATCAACATGATCAGGTTAGCAGTAGAATACATAATTGTTTTTGAACGTTAAATGTAATGACTTGCTCATGGTGGTCACTCTATGCCTTGATTTATAAATTAGGATTGCTCTGTTGATAGGAATAATACTAGTATTATTATCTAAGAATTATTATCTAAGAATTTATATAACTAGTGATAATATTAATAGTGTTCACTAATAATACTAGTGTTAGACAAAAAGGACTGTTGATTTTATGAGATTTCTAAACGACTAGATGTAGAATTACAGCTTTATTGCTTGCTCTCCTCAACACTTTCATCCTGTTTGTTGGTTGACCTATTTTTAATTCACAAAGCAGCTCCAAAAAGAGGGGGAAAAAACATTATAGTGCCATCAATTGCAAGTAACAGAATAACTATAAATGTAGCAATAGGAATTCCCAACCCCTACAAGTTTAAAGTGCCTTATAAAGTCACCCGGTGCCCAGCAACTATTATAGTGTTCTCCTTGAGAAGAAATGCATGGAGCTTCCATGCCACCATTACAAAGGCTCTACTAGGCATTTATTTATTATGTTGGTATAATGCTGTAGTCAAGCAACTCCTGGTGGTTTGCAACCATTAAAACGTCATAAAACATCCAGTCCTCAAGTAAAAAACAAATACAAAACTAGAAGAATAAAATAGCAGGCTCAAAATGCCAGTGTGGCACCATGGTTAAGGTTTTGGACTGCACTGAGGAGAACCAGGTTTGAATGCACCTCCAGCCACACAAGCTCACTGGCAAATTTGGGACAGTCCTTCTCCCTCAGCCCAGCCTACCTCACAGGGTTGTTGTAGTGGGGGAAAATGGGGAGGAGGAATGCAAAGCGTTGGTCGCTTTGCGCTCCTATACTGAAGGTGGAATATAAATCTACCGAAAGAATGAATAAATCAGGGAGGCATTTCTTGATCTCGAAAGTTATTACGGAATGGAACAGCCTGTCTGAAAAGGAACTCAGTAAACAAAGCGCTCATGAAGAGGGCATGGCAGCACTGACCACAGGGGGAAGGGGCATGCCCACTCCTCCCAAAACACAGCCCCAATCATGTAGTCCAGGTGCTCTGATTCCACCTCCAAGTGATGCATGTTAAAAAGGGGCGTGGCCTTGACCATGTAGTCACAGCTGCCATCTTGGATCTCCTTGCCTCCAAGAGAAGGGGTGATGCCATGTAGCAGATTTTGCACCCCTCTTGCTGGATGGCATCTGACAAGGGGCAAAAGTGACTTTTATGCAACCAATCTCAACCCATGGTTGCTTCGTTCACTGGCCGCCAATGAGATGAGGGCAAGGCCCTGCGGACGAGAAGGAAACAAGACATTGCCGGAGTATAATTCTGCTGTGGTTAAGTGCAAGGGGCAGAGGAGGAGAAAGGGCCTAGATTTTGCAGGGGGAAGTGCAACTGAACCTCTGGTTGTGGAAAACCTAGGCCCTTTCTCACCTAGAGGAGTTCTCAAACTTTGCCGTATGGTAACTTCCCAGAATACTAAATCTACTGATGTTACATACCCACACACCCTATAAAGAACATAATGATTTCATTCATGTTAGGGTTGGACAAAAAATAAAGATGTCACTTATGGTTCATAATGTCTATTTTAATGTCTATTCAATTTTCATCCCAGGCAGAGGCATGGTTCTGCATGGTTCCCAAAGTCAAGTTGGTGAGATCAAAGCTCTGCCTGTGTTTCATGCCCACCAACGTGGCTGCCATCTTGACTTTGGGGACCACACCCTGTGGATAACCCTGATCACAGAGGTTCTCAAACTTTGAGGTTCAGCAACTGCACCCTCTGACTTTGTGTGGGCAAAACAAAGCCCAAAGCCCAAGTGAGCTTTTCCACTGCAAACTTTCTGAATTGCTTCCAACTCCTGGGATGTCCTGATCTGCACCTTGAGAAGCCCTGTGTGAAATGATAAAGGGGGGAAATCAGGAATGTCAGCAAATATTCACTGGTTTGCATTTGATCTCCTGGGTAGCTCTCCTCAGAAACTGAGATCTGGCAAGGATATTCTTGTGGGGAGGGGGATTCAATCTATGTTTGTCCCTTGTAATGTGTGGAACGGTTTAAGGATGTAAACCTGACCTCAAGAGCTAATCTGATTTCCCCTTTGAATGTGTGTGTGTGTGTGTGTGCTTCCTGGATGGAATGGGTGACGCAGGTACTCAAGGATCAGAGACAGGAGCTATTCCGCTGGACCTCCCGCATGCAGCAGAAAGAGATCTAAGTAAGACTTTCTTTTTAAGGCAGCCAATTTTTGCAAACAAGGAGTTGCAAAGCCCTGGCAACTCTCCATCTTCTCTCCTAAATCTCCAGCTAATTCCCACATAACTGGAAGAGGCCAGAATAAAGGCAGATGTAAAGGAATACAGGGATGACCATGGAGAAGATCTGCTGAGACCATTAGCAAAACATGAACTTAGCTTCAAAAAACGAGAAAATGGGAGAAAGAAACTCAAGATTGCCCCACCATGACTCACTTTAAGTATAAGAGGGAGGAAGGGTATATGCTGCCAGGTTTTCAAGATTCTGTCAATAAAGTAGACTTCTATATTTCTTGTGGTGCCTGTTTCCTGACCTGACCTACCTCAAAGCGCTGACATCAATCTTGAAAGCCTCATAGTATTTCCCATTCCCTCCTCCTTTTTTTGCACCAAAGAGTCAAAGTTGAACTATTGCAAGTTTCTTTCTCATACTGTCTTGTCTCTCCAGACTGAGTTCATGGTCTGCTAACAGTCTCTGCAGAACTTCTCCAAGCTCATCTCTGTCTTCCTCTACAGCAGCTGAGCAAAGTAGATTAGAAAGATTTCAGCTAGAAAGTCTGTGATTTCACACTGCTCAACTTTTGGAATAGCATGTCTCCAGAGATTCATACAACCTTTACGTAAGCTTTTACGTAAGCCTTGAAACCCAGCTCTTCCCCCAGGCCTTGGATTAGTGTGGGGTTGGGCCTCTTTATATCATAAAAGGGGGGAGTGGGGTTTTTTTGGATTTGCTCCCTCTGGCTGATTGCTCTTCTTATATGATATTGTTGCTATATTTTTTAATTGCAAAGCCATCCAAAGTTGGTTCTGGAGTTGGGTAGCCTAGACATTTGACAAATAAATAAAATAAAATAAAATAAATCTGCCTTCTATGTTGGCTCTCTACTGAGATGCTCTGAACTGGAAAACACAAGAAGGAAACTTCTGAGCTTGGCTGGCTGGGGAATTCTGGGAACTGAAGTCCACACATCTTAAAGTTGCCAAGTTTGAGAAATACTGCATCAGGAGAAACAAGAATCTGGAGTAAAATCTGACTTTTCCACATTAACGGAGAAGGTAAAGGTTTCTGATCAGCTGAGGGCAATTGCCACATAGCCCTCAATCTGGAACTTCAGGCACAGAATTCCCAAACTAATGGGGATTGTAACCCTGTTTCAGTCTCACTTCAGATTCCATTCCATACATTCATTTTTCTTAAGATCTGAAGAACATTCATGTTGGTATAAAGGTTTCCTTGAGTTCAGCTCAACTCTTTATAGCATTATAGAAGTGGTGTCCCCTCGCCTTCTTCTGGAATGGTTTTTCAAATTCCCAGGCCAACTTACAATCTTGGGAACATCTCGTGGTCTCCCATCCTAATGATAACCAGGGCCGACCCTGTTTAGCTTCTGAAATCAAGGGTGTATCTTAATATTTTGAAACTATTTATGTTTTAAAACTGTTTCCTCTCAGATAACATCACCTTCTTCAACGGGGTCTTTGAAAATGTGGAAAGTGTTGCTTTGTTTTTTGGTAAGTGGGCTTTTATTTGTTTGTCTGTTTCCACTGGATGAAAAGGTCCCCCTTGTCTATATCTGTATTTTCCGTGAATTATTAAGAAATGTGGCTGCCTCTGAATGCAGATAAGTGCAAACCCAGGAAGAGTTGGTCTGCTGCATATCATGAATGTACAAGTGGGACAAAGTACAATTTGTCAGAGCTATTCTGGTCTTTGCTTTGAAATACAAAAAGCAACATGGATAAAGCACACGGCTAAGCAAACATGGATGATAGATTGCCCATTCATCTGTCTGTACAATATCCACATCATTTCTCAGCAGAGGTGTTCCACAGCATCTCAGGGCTCACCCCAAACAGTTAATTACTTAACTACTTTAACCAGTTAAAGCGAAGATGAAGCAGATGCATTTCCACGACCTGCTGGGTTTCATTAGTGCTAATTTTCATTGCTGTTGTTTTTTATTAAAAAAAATGGTTTAGTGTGTTTTGTGAAAATATTAATACAGGAACTGGATTAAATTTGTGGTGTGAAGCCTATTAGAAACAAGAGGGAAAGGGGAAAATACTTTACCAAACTTTTGGGTGGTCCCCAGAAAACTATCACCTGAGTCTTTTGAAGCTTTGGATTAGATGACATGAAGAACACTGTGATACTAGCATGCACGGGCATCTTTGATGCAGAAAATGTGGGATTCACCGTGTGGTTTCAGCTTTTTGAATTGGACTCAAATCTCCAACAATGTTGAAATGAAACTTAATATTGACCTTAATCAGATCACAAGTGGCTATGAGTGAAGTAAAATTTGAGGCAAATCTAGTGGAAATCTCTATTGGAGTCACTTCATTTATATCAGTGTATGAATAGAATCAAGCCCCTTATAAGTATCTAGAGCCAGATACTAAAGATCCAAAGGGACAAATCAAATGTAAGTTACATATTTTGTTAAACATTTTAAAACTTTCTGTCATCATGACAGAAGAAGGGAGGGAGGAGAGAAGGGGAAAGAGGAAGGAAGGAAGGAAGGAAGGAAGGAAGGAAGGAAGGAAGGAAGGAAGGAGAGGGGGGAGAGAGGGGGAGAGAGGAAGGAAGGAAGGAAGGAAGGAAGGAAGGAAGGAAGGAAGGAAGGAAGGAGAGGGGGGAGAGAGGGGGAGAGAGGAAGGAAGGAAGGAAGGAGAGGGGGGAGAGAGGGGGAGAGAGGAAGGAAGGAAGGAAGGAGAGGGGGGAGAGAGGGGGAGAGAGGAAGGAAGGAAGGAAGGAGAGGGGGGAGAGAGGGGGAGAGAGGAAGGAAGGAAGGAAGGAGAGGGGGGAGAGAGGGGGAGAGAGGAAGGAAGGAAGGAAGGAAGGAAGGAAGGAAGGAAGGAAGGAAGGAAGAAGGCAGGCAGGCTGAAGTGGAAACATTTATAATTTTCCAATCAGGGAAAAGCAGATTAGAGACAATGAGAGGAACAAAGAAGGAATCCCTTCCTTATTATTTTGACCACTGATCCTCTACTAAAAGATGCCATAGGGTTAAAGATGCAAAAAGTGAATTCTTCTGGAATTTAATCTATCATGAAAGAAAAGGAAGTGCATCATGGAGTCAGAATTATAGAGGACACAGATTTTCATAAAACTTCCAGATGCTAATTAATGTAGGTAGACGCATAGATAGAATACTAATGAATATAGACAGATGCATGATTCTACTTTAAATAGAAATGCAGCACATTTTACCATAGTGGAAAGACTGTGACCAAGTGACTTGGGTGCTCGCTTGCTTGTAGGATGTGCAAGTGCTGGTTGCTATTGATAGTTATAAATGTAGACATAATTGCTTGGTTTGATCACCATGTGTGAGCTGTGAATAGACAGCCTCTAGCCCTCTGCCTTCTCCAATTATGGGTCACCTTCAAATCAGGGACCTTTCAATTAGAAGAAGGATTCCAATAGAGAAGTGTCTTCTGACAGCTCTTTCTAATAAAGAGCTTTAACTGAACCCTTGTCGAGAACACAAAGGTCCTTGGAGCAGGGCTACCATATCTGGGCTGCAAAACAAAAAAAACCCCAAAAAACCCGATGGCCACTAGGTGGCAGCACCTGCCCAGGTATCCCCAGGCGGCTACATTCCAGAGCATGGAGCACCATTTTTTGCTAGGGGGTATGTTTCCTGTGCCTCCCAACCTACTGCATTTCAAGGTGCAATTTCTCAGGATTCTTCATT